CTTTTATTTGTACATCATTTAGATCTCATCCAAAATAGGTGGGTCAGAAGTTGCATTAGAATCAATCCTTCAGATTTAAAAATGATCCTCTGAAGAGTCTATTCAATACTAGAATCCTGCTCAGACATGTTATTTGGGAAACCAGCATGATAATGCAGTTAAGAAACTTGGGTCTTAAGACTGGAAAGATCCAAGTATTGCTTATCAAGGAAGCTATTTCTTAGCCTTTCCAATTTGACACAGCTCTTATGCTGATGGTACATCCATTTTCTTAGATGGATAGGTAGATCCATTCCAGAAGTGCATATCTCCCTCTCACTCTCTAGAAGCAAGACTTAGACTTCATCTATCTCTACTTCCTATTGGAGGGGAGAGCCCTTTCCCCCAGTTTTGGAATGAGAAGACTGAAAAAGAACTCAGAATGCTTGAGAAAAGTAGGAATAAAGAAGAGATATGTGAGAATTATGGATGCAGTCACTGATAAAACTCCAAGACATTTTATCTGTTTTTTGATACTGCTGCCATTAAGTTGAATGGCATGTCTCCACTGTAAAAAAGAACTTTTCTTGTAAATTCAATGTACCATTTTTCTAGAACAGAGCCAGGGCATCTGACAGTGGAACATATCAGACCTGTCCCCGAGAGCCATTTTTACATCAATCCTTGACAGAATCTATTTTTTGCAGCAACTATTTTTTGCAGCAACTTCTATTGAGGGATGTTCCAGCTGAAGTATAAGAATGAAACTTGTAGTATCTAGTAAAAGAGGATAAAGAGAACTGTAAATCCCCTACTGATGTCTTCCAGGGAGCACCTGTGTTGAAGGCAGCCAAGACAGCTGAACCTCTAGTGGAATGGGCCACAGTGTCCCATGAGAAAGTTTTATTTTGTGTTTCCCAGGCTAGATTGATGTACACAATCATCTGGAAAGCATGAACGGTGAGGTTCTGCAGAACAAGTTAGCTAGTCAGAAAGATACCAGGAGACTGACCAGGGCTCTGAATTCTTTAGTTCTTCTCAGATAAATCTTGATGGCATGTCTGATATCTAATCTCTGCCACTCTTCCTCTAGCTGGGTTTGGAGCATGGTGCAGAAAACAGGTGGTGGTGGTGAAAAACTGAATTTTCCTTGAGTATTAAAGGTAGAATTTGGGGCACAGCATTAGGGTGCCTGTCTGGATGATGCAGAACTCCTTCCTGGAAGAGATTCCATTTATCTGAAACCCACTTGGCTGATACAATGAGTATTAAGAATATCATATTCCCATGTTAGGTACTGAAATTCTTATAAGGATTCAGACAGGACTTGGATTAGGGACTAAAGTGCCAGCTAAAGCTCCCATAATGGATATCAATATATAATGAGTAGTCTTAGGGGTGCCTTCCTAAAGAATGTCTTGATCTGAGGATGAGCCAATAGAAACTTGTTGCTCTCTATTGTTAGAACTGATGAGAGATGTGATCATTGTTTATGAAGTTAATTGTTAGTTGTAGACCACTGGCGAAGCCTGCCTGTCCAAAAGTTGGCTCTTAAGTGGCACTGAAGAATGGGTGCTGATTTGGTGAGCTTCCCTTCCTACAGAGGCTCACTAAATGTATATGCTAACTGGGAAGACAGTGCATGAAGCTAAGATGGTCTAAACAAATCTGTTTTCATATCCTAAACTAACAAGCCAATCTCACTCCACTTTCAGATATAGAGTTCCACTTGGGATCCAGATGCTGAATCCATCTTGATTCAGCTGATGTAGTGAGGCAGGAAGACTTCATGGTTTTAGGATAATAACAGGTTAATTAGGTCCAAATATAGGGCCTCTTGGTCACTTGAGAGGTATCACAGTTGGCTCAGGTCTCCAGTTGCTGAAGCCTGGGAGTTACTGGAAATCCAGAGCAGGCATATAGTGGGTCCTTGACCCAGTCAGCATTGAAGACATTTGTTCCCTCTACTCTTTGGCTTGGAAAATGCAAGATGACACATTCCACTGGCTTCCCAAAGATCAAAGCAATTTGTGATAATTTAGGATTCAGGTTCCATTTGCTTTAGTGTTTGCAATTTAGCCAGACCCCCCTCTGTGTTGTTTGTTCCCTGAACATATTCTGCCATGAGACACAATACATTTTCATCAGAAAAACAAACCTTGGTTGATTCCATCATCTGCCTTGATTTGCTGGTTCTCATTTGTTGTGGGTAGAATTCATATCTCAGAAATGTCCATTGCAGTGAGTTAAATGGGAAGGGGAGGTAGGCCACCTATATGTCTAGCAAGGCCTGGGCATCATCTTTCTAAACACAGTCTATGAAGGATACCAGGGCTTTCATCTGGATCTTGCAATACTTGATGCAGCAATTCACTGGTTTTAAATCCAGAAAGGTGCACACAATTATGAGTTTGAAAACCCCTTGAGTCATGGAACCTGTTCGGTCACCTGTATACTCAAGAGATTATTTAATGGCCTTCTAGACTAGCCAGTGTTTGGTCAACTTGTGTGGAGCTAAGTAATCACAGGAAAGTCTGTTGAGATCTATGATGTAGCCTGGTGAGATATCCCATCTTGGTGTATGGGGTCCTTAGGTGGGCAAATTCCATTAGCCTCCTGCCCACTGGGAAATTGGGGAAGTCATTATTTGTGTCCCTTCTTTTATAAGCAGGAGACAATGTTGCCTCTGGGTTGTGGCTGCTGTGAGTTGTACTGAGGTCCCTACTCCTCCACAGAATATTCTGTGTCCTTGTGTTCCAAAGGTCTGTTTTAAGTGTACTACAAATGAAAGGAATTAATAGGATAGAGTAGCCTTTGTATTTTTTATTGGTTAAGGGTCTGTTGTCATAATTCATCTAATGACTTCATCTAATGATAATGGGCCCAATACAAGAACTATTTGTGACTTCTTTAGCCAAAGTTGCCTCCTAGTAACCATATTAGCCATTATGCCTCTAGCTGAGAAGTGGAAACTATCTAGGTATTACCTGCCATGAAGGCAGCAGCTTTAGGTAGTTTACTCATACTCTAACTGAATTATATATGGGCAAAAATATGTGTAGCGAGAGATGCTCTTATGGCTAGGGCTATAACTTTGTGAGCTTTCCACTAAACTTTCTCCAGTCCTCCGAGTATATTTTCCTAGTCCTTATTCACTACAGCCTCCAAGACCAGGGTGTGATGGAATGTAGACCAGGCCTTGGGAATAGGGAAGAATGAGTAAACTGCTAAAGAGGAACTTAGGTAAGATTGTTCAGTCCTGAGAAGACCTTGATTTTATTTAATGCAAGATGGAGCAGAGAGAAACTGCGACTGGCTTTCAAGATTCTATTATTCTACCCTACAACAATAAAGAGCACCCCAGGAATCCCTGCCGTGCCTGCTTCTTGACCTTGCCTACCTCAAAGGACTGACACAGTGTCACCATGGAAGCGTCCAGTTGGAGATTCCATAATCATTTATCGGGGCCTCTAGAATGGAGTGGGATCTTCAGAGGATGGCAGCTACTACCTGGCAGAACCGTTGGAGTAAGTCTATCATTCTGGTTCCTTTATGGAAAAGCAGTTGGGAGGGCTGGGCATCCAGCACAGCTCCCATCCCCTCTGGTATCCAGGCCATCTGACTACCCAGAGGAGCTGGGTAGCCTATTAGAGGCAGAGATGGCTCACAACTCATGGCTAGTAGCTCGGCAGCCACGGTATTG